TTTTATGTGGAAAGTGATACTATGAAAAATAGAGTCCTCACATTAAGGCTTTGGATGCCATAGAGAGGCTACATGTGTAGAGGTTGTTGTGTTCCTCAGACTGTTGTGAGCTATGTGAAAAGAGTGACAATGGGGGGGATGGGCTGCATGTGCTCAGATTAACCAAACCCTGAATGCCTGAACAGGACTTCTGTCTCATCCAGGCATTCATGCAGTCCTAGAAAACCTCAGCAAATGCAGAAGGAAACATTTTAACATACTGGTGACTATGCTGACAAAATTCTAAAGCAGGGAATGGCAAACAGCAGACCTAGGGATACATAAAGTTTCCCTCCACCCCACCCTCATTTGTTAATTTGTTTGTTTATTTATTTATTGTGTCCCTTGAGAGATTCCAGAATCCCCTGGTTGACCTTTTTCTGGCCAAAAAAGAGGATGAATTACTGCACCTGGAAGGCTCCAAGTATAACAAATTACCTTTTAAACAGGTTGCAAGTACTGTACTGTTTAAGGTCCAAGAACACCAGTTTATCACCTCTGTCTTTTTGTTTGCTTGCTTAATCTATAATATGAAGAAAACAGAATAATTTATTGACAGTGGTACTGCAGCCAGGTTATCTAGAGCTGGGATAGAGGAATGCCTTTGGTATCCTGCCCTTGCTGGCCTCTACTCCTATAGAGCTGCTCTTTTCCTGACAAGATTTGAAGTGTGGCTGCATCCGTACTGCAGAAATAATGCAGTCTGACACCACTTTAACTGCCATGGTTCAATGCTATGGAATTCTGAGGTTTGTAGTTTTGTAAGATATTTAGCTTCCTCTGTCAGGGACCTCTGGTGTCACAACAAAGTACAAATCTCATGATTCCATAGCACTGGGCCATGACAGTCAAAGTGTTGTTAAGCTGCATTAATTCTGCAGTGCAGATGCAGCTTGTGCTGCCTGCTGAAGAAGGCCTAAGCAGCTGATCCCAAATAGCTGTTCCTCCCATCCCATGCCTTCACTTTCTTGAGTGGGAAGGGGGTATAAAATTAGAGGCAGGCACTGCAGTGGGTAACCCACTTGGGGTCAGCGCTTGGAAAAAACACAAGAGTAAGTCCCATGGCATCACTAGAGGAATGCAGGGGATTCAGCCTGCACTGGGTGATGCCCCAGAAGAGAGGTGACCCAGTTGGGCCCTCTTTCTGCTGAGAAAGGCTGAGCACATCCCTCCTAACTTCACCATGGTGGCAGAGACCTCCTCATGAGGAGGCTTCCACTGCAGTGGAGAAGGAGAGGCCCAAACACACCCTTTTGGCTACTGTCCCCCTTAGCAGCCCCCCCACACTAGGTGACTCCACTGAGTAAAGCCACCACCACACTTTCTTGGGTAATAGGCGGACCTTGGGGTCTTGAAATAATATTACTCACAGTGAGAATGTGGGTTAACTTCTTGGGATATCACTTTACAGTCCCTAAGTGAGAGGCAAGGCTTACAAGATCATTAGGTGCCCATGTGCGAGATTTTCATCAGGGTAGATGTGGGAGATATTTCTGCAAGATGTGGTGGGGGGGGAAGGCTAAATTATTCTTTTGAACTCCTTTTGGCTTTTTTGTTCAGCTTCACTGCTGGCTTTTGGCAAGCAGCTGCTCCAGTCTGCAGCAATGGCATCTTACCTGTGTTTTGTTGTTAACTGCCCTCGACTCATGGCAACCCTATGGATGAGACATCTCCAAGACCCTCCGTCCTCCACTGCTCTGCTTAATTCCTGCAACCCTTAATACCCGTCACCTCCTTAATAGAGTGAATCCATCTAGCATGTGGCCTTCCTCTCTTCCTAGTTCCCTCCACCTTCCCCAGCATTATTGTTTTTTTCTAATTCTTCTGTGTATTGCATCTAACATCTTATTATTCCTTCCTGGTCTTGAATTATGTTATATTTATTGTCACAGATCATCCCAGTCCTTGGTTTGAATTTTCCTTTGATTTCCCAGATATTGTAAAATAGATCTCTTGTTCTTCCCTTTTTGTTGTCTGCATATTTGCTCCATATTATTTCTCTGTGTATGTTTGTTGTTGTTTTAAATTATGGATGAGATGGGTGAATCTCAAGGGAAGGGGAGGAGTGGTTGATGGGCCACTCTTGGGGAGAGAGAGGTTTGGCACTGGGAGTGGAAATGCCAGGTAAGGGAAAGGTAGGATAAATACTTGAGCTTTAACCCATGCTTCAGTCCTTTGCCCATCTCTTAAGATTCAGGTTGCCATGTCAGCTGTTCCTGAATGGCAGGTCAGTCTGTAATAAACAAACTACTATCTATGACTTGGTTGTGGGTGAAGGGGCTATGTTGGTATCTGTGATGAAGACATGGGTAGATGAGATTTAGGGACCACTTTTATCCCCTGAAAACCTCTAGGAGACTTGCCACAGTTTGCCTAGCCCTGTTCTATTGCTATTGTTACTATTTTGCTTTAATCATTTCTATCGCATCTTTTGCTCAATAATTCATCTAAATGGGCTACACATAATTCTGTAAATATTAATATATGCTCATCTAGAAATAAAAGCTATGACATAAAACATTTCATTTCATAACAATTAGATCTCTTGTTCGTTATTGTTGTTAACAGCCCTTGAGTCAATAAAACATCTCCAAATCCAATTTTTGTATGATATTTTCTACATACGTTGAACAAGTAGAGTGCAGCCTTGTCTGATTCCCTTGTCAATTGGGAACCATCTTGTTTCTCCATATTCTGTTCTTACAATAGTCTCTTGTTCTAAGTACAGATTTCTCATCAGGACTATCAAATGTAGTGGCACTTCCATGTCTTTGAAAGCAGCCCATAGCTTCACATGATCTATGCAGTCAAAGGCTTTGCTATATTCTATAAAGCACATGATCATTTTCTTTTGGAATTCCCTGGTGTGCTCCATAAACCATCTTATTATTTATTTTATTTAATGTTATTTATTGTATTTATATCCCGCTCTTCAGAAATGCTCTCAGAGTGGATTATATATTGTTGCTTTGACAGTTATGTGCCCTGAGGCTTACAATCTAAAAAAACATGACACAAACAGTACAGAAAAGTACAGATTGCGTACAGACACAAAAATACAGATTGGGTCTTCCCTATCTGAGATGCTTGGTTGGCATGTCACAAGGCAGAGTGGAGTTCTCCAACAGCCAGTCAGGTTCAGACTGGCTGCAAAGGTGGGGGCTGCCAGAGGAGTGACTATAAAAGGGGAGGAGCAAGGGTGAATTGTTGTTGAGTGTGTCAGTACTTTTAGAAGTTATGAAGTTTCAGTGACAAGAGAGCTTGTCAGTTTTAGTGTAATGTTAGTTAACAAGTCAGTTCATAGCAATTCATAGCTGCTTTGTTCTGTTGATTCTCAGTTCAGATTTAGGCTAGACCTCGACGGATTTCAAACTTCTGTAAAAGGGGACTTATAATAGAGAGAGTAGTTTAAAAGCAGCAGAAACTAGTTTAGAATTGAAAGAGATTCAGTGAGGGAGCTGAATAAGGAATAATTTGTAACCAGTGAAGTGCTGTAAATAGCGTAACCATACGATCTGTGTACCAGCCATGAAACGAAACAAAAGTAACATCTGCTTGTAAATAAAGATTATTTTTTTCTTGTTTCCAAAAGAGATGTGGCTTGAATGAACTTAGAATAATACTTTTCACAAATAATATGCTACCAATAACACACATAGAGGAGACAGACACTTGAGGACCTAAATCTTAATTCATTTATACAAAAGTGTATTGGTAAAAGTGAGGCATGTGTCAGGACCAAGGGATCAAGGGATGCATTTGAGGTAGAAGAAAAGCCTCAGAAGCTGGAAGCTGGAAGACTCCTGTGGCCAACTCATGGAGACAAAGGATATTGGATTTTTAAAATTTAAATTTATTTGTTTTTTTTGGATTTTGGAATACCTGTTTTTGCATATGCATACATAATGAGATATATTGTAGGTGGGGCCCAAGCCTAAACACAAAATTCATTAATGTTTCATATATACCTAATGCACATAACCTGAAAGTAATTTTATACAATATTTTTAATAATTTTGTGTATGAAACTTTACAGCAATAGTGCAAAAACGTCACTATTTCAGCCACCAATGGGGGAAAATGGTTCTTGGAATATCTTGAATTTTAGAATTCCAAATAAGGGAGACTCAACCTGTATAACTGAATATGGAACAGTTACCTCTGTAACTCTAGGTTGTGAATCCATAACTGCCATCCTTCTTTTTAAAAAGTTGATATTAATGAGTAAAGTTAACTATTGCTTTCTCCTCAAGTGTGAGACCATGCACATTCATCGGTCATATTGTAGTCTGTCCCCTGAGCTCAGTTGTTTCCCTTTTCCTAGGAGCCTCAGGACAGAGAATAATTCTTCAATATGTTGAAACCACATTGTTGGTGGAGAGTGTGAAATAAAATGGCACTGTTTCAAACAATCTAACATATTTTATGGAAAAGAGCCACAAACTGAGAAAACAGAGGATTAAATGACCAAATTCCTTATTGCCTTTTAAATATATACACTTGCAAGATTTTTAATTTCAAGGCAGAGAGTATTTTGAGCAAATATTCCTGCTGTGCTGATAGATAGCTAGAAAAACAAAAAGGAAAATCTTGCTCTTTTGATGTGAGTAGATTTATTTCAAAATGTATAAGTGAGGTTGCTATATTGAAGACTACTGTACTAATCCCATGAATTTATTTCAAATGAAACTTAATTAGCTTGATTTGTTATAACTCAGTGAAAGGCTGAGCCAGAATGATAAACTAACATAACAACATCCCATGGAATCCTGGGATTTGCAGTTTAGGGAGGGCCATTTAGAATTCTCATCCAGAGAGCTGTAGAGCCAACTCATATTATAAATCCCAAGATTCCATAGGATGTTGCCATGACAATTAACATTGTCATATAGTGCTATATTTGTGTATTGTGGAAAATCAGGAGCTTGATTTTTTGTTTCACCTAGTCAACTGCCGAGAGAGCCAGTGTGGGGTAGTGGTTTAAACGTTGAGTATGACTCTAGAGACCGGGGTTCAAATCCCAGCTTGGCCATGGGAACCAACTGAGTGACCTGGGACAAGTCACACTTCCTCAGCCTTTGAGAACAGCAATAGCAAACCCTTTCTGGAAAAAAACATGTCAAGTAAATCCCAAGATAGGTTCACCTTAGCATCCTCATAAGTCAGAAATGATTTGAAGGCACACAAGAACAAAGTCAACAGTCCACTTCCTGTATTACACATTTCGCTTTCTGCCTCCTCAGTTTTGTCCATTTTCCACCCCAACACCAGCTCTGCTCAATGGTTTTTGGAGCTTTTAACCAAAATACTCTGCAAGCTCATTTTCCTACAGCAGACATGTCAGTAGGCAACGAGGGAAAGCAGAGAGAACAATACAGTCGCTCCTCTGTTTTTGCAGGTGGCCCAGAAAACCACAAATATTCAAGCCCCATAGGCTTGAAGAGCAGTGTGCACCCACTGGTGTGCACCCTATTTTGTCCCCCTCTGTTTGCCATCTACAAATGGGTGATGGATGCGGACTTCAAGTCTGCGAAAACGGAGGGCAACTGTAGTTCTAAATGTTGCTGAGCATCACCCATAGACTCCCTTGCTGTGATATGTGCCTTAAAATGTACACAACAATAGCAACCTCTGAGGACAGAGATTTTAAACTGGAGAACCTAGTTCCCATGTATAGCTGCCTGTGACAAAATTATATATTCTTTGACTGCAATCCTCTATGGCTCAGCATAGCAAAGTAGTAGAATTCAAAGATATAACCATGCTAGTCTGTAGAATCAGTCTGTGGAGAGATCTTGTAGCAGCACCTTTGAGACTAACTGAAGAAAGAAGTTGGCAACATGAGGTTTCATAGACTTAAGTCTACTTCCTCAGATGCATTTGATGGAGTCCACCAAATTTGGCTCCACCAAATGCATTTGAGGAAGTAGACTTAAGTCGTTGAAAGCTCATGCTGCCAACTTCTTTCAATTAGTCTCAAAGGTGCTACAAGATCTCTCTAGACAGCAAAGTAATTATACATGCAAGCCTATGATAGGCTGAGACATATATCACCCCTTCTGAGTCATACACCATCCCACAGCCTCTGAAACCCCTCTCCTTAATGTATAGATATCTGTTATGTACCTTGAGGGGAGCACAAGATTGGAGAAATGTGTGGCTATGTCCCTGTAGCTAGATGTGAAATGATTACATCAACACTCAAATCTAACAGGGTCTTCTGGAGGTCTCAGTGCTGCTGTAATGATTTCACATGTGGCTATGGGGATATAGCCAGATCTTCTCCAATTCTACCTGCATCCCATAAGGTACATAATGCCCATGGGGAAGTGGGCTTCAGAGGCTGTATGGTAGATCCAGGGTGGAGGTACTGTGAAGAGAGCAAGGGAATTCCAGCCTCTGCAGCACCCAAAAAGGCAATATACTTACTTACACACACATATGCCACTAACAGTATACCAGCCTTTATGTAACAAGAGTGAAATAAACACACAGATTTCAAAGAAATTACAGCTATTGACCTACGTATCAGTGTTGCCAGCATAAGAGATTTACAGACACCAAAGCCATTCCACATTTTAGTTTATTTTTCCTCCCCTGCACACATGAGAACAGCCCCATCCCTTAGGACAGTGGTCCCCAACCTTTTTATTGCCGTGGACCGGTC